CAACCACAAACACACAACCACAAACACACAACCACAAACACACAACCGCAAACACACAACCCCAAACACACAACCACACACACAACCACAAACACACAACCGCAAAGACACAACCACAAACACACAACCACAAAAACACAACCACAAAAACACAACCACTAAAACACAACCACAAACACAACAACAAACACACAACAACAAGCACACAGCCACAAACACACAACCACAAACACAACCACAAACACACAACCACAAACACACCCACAAACACACAACCACAAACACAACCACAAACACAACCACAACCACAAAGACACAACCACAAAGACACAACCACAAACACAACCACAACCACAAAGACACAACCACAAACACAACCACAAAAACACAACCCCAAACACACAACCACAAACACAATCACAAACACACAGCCACAAAGACAACCACAAAAACATAACCACAAACACAAGCACAAACACAATCACAAACACACAGCCACAAACACAATCACAAACACACAGCCACAAATACAACCACAAACACAATCACAAACACACAACCACAAACACAACCGCAAAGACATCCACAAACACACAATTACAAACACACAGCCACAAACACACAATCACAACCACAACCACAACCACAACACAGCACACAACCACAACCACAACACACAACCACAGCACACAACCCGAGGACCCACAAGCAAGATCGAGAACTACAATACTCACGACCATGGCAGCATGCTGCTCACTATGGCATCAAGACACGATTGAAATGTCATGGTGGGGATCACTCGAAGTAAAGTAATTTTGATTTTTTCAGCAGGTTTCTTCTATGGTTGTTTGTGGAGGACCAACCCTTGTGGGTATGTGTCCTGACTATGACTTGGCAGCCCGACGGCGCCGCCCCGTCTATTGTGAATTAATTCGACTAATTCGGGTCACGTTTGCATGGGCATGGCCTGTACATGTATGCACGCCAGCCTACTTAAACAAGGAAACAAACCATGCTTATATTCTTTCACTCTTGGAGCCCTTTGCAGCACCATGGCTGAGTGGGTGGATACACTGGTGCCATTCGAGTAGCAGATCCTGCTGGATTGTTGGCTGATTTTGATATCAATGCTGTAACTGCCTCTGTGCAGACACATCTGAACACTTGGGCATTTACTTGGTCTGGGGCCTCTAAAGTAGCGCAGGTCGACTAACTATGTAGCACATAGACCATGTACATAGTGCATAGTGTAACAACTTATCAGCCAGGAAGAACCTTCAAGATGTATGCGTACACACACACACACACGCACATGTAGCATCACTAAATACAACCTCCAGGTAGCCCGGTTTCACTGACTTCACCAATGACTTGATCCAAAAAACCGTAGGTGACCACTTCGAGGAAATCAAATTTCAAAAACCTGGCAACTTAAACGAGATGATTCTGTTTGAGCGCCCTTCCGGCTTATCCCTTTCGGTGAGAGTTAGGCTCGGGGCCGTTGGTGGTTTGTCCATGTCAGGCCCTACCTAGGGCATAGTGTTTGCCTGCACATCCACTAACCTGTTGCACCCAGTTGCACGGTCTCCTGAATAAGTGCTCTAAGATGCCCTAAGTTCTACTGTAAGTCATAGTTTTTTCCTTTTGAGCTGGGCCGGCCCCTTGACCAACATCCTTTCTTGGCACGTATCTTCCGTGCTGGACACTCACTTCTGCAGGGAGTTAACTTGCAACCTCCATGGTTCCCACCACCTGAAAAGGAATGAGGATTTGATATGCAATCTTTAACAAGCTCACCCATGTTCAGTGTTTGACCGACATAAAGACACAATATATTGACATCAGCTGTCCTCTACTCCCTAGCGGCCGTAGCACTTCCGGGTTGACCCCACTTCGACGAGGTTATCCTTTGAATCGGGAGCAGCTGGCCCGACACATCAAGAAAGTGCGAAATCGTCAATATGGCATGCCAGAAGACGCTCGACTGTATGGTTTTGATCAGGTTCAAGACATTGGTTGCGGAGGGGATCTCGGCCCATTTTTGTTTTGCGTGACATGTGTATCCACTTGATTAGCTCATTGGATGCACTTCAATCAATCATTCTAGTTTGGGTTTGGGAACATGTTCGCGAACAGTATGGAGCACTTGCCTGAATTCAAGCGTCAGGTCTATGTTATATAAGGCAGTGATAAGAATTTCACTGCACATTTTCACCTCCAAAGACATACTCCATAGGCACATGTTTTCCTTGGAGACTGTTGGATGTGTCTACTTACTGTTGCCCCCTCATTCGGAGCTGCGCATGAGCTGCTACAGCAATATCAAGCATGTCTTTTTGCGGGTCATCCAGCGGGTCATCCAGCCTTTTTCCTGGAAGCCATGCCTTTTACAGGACAGCCCTCCGATGTTTTCAGCTGGAAATCTCCAAATTGACTTAACATAAACTACTCCGAACTCAGGAAGAGAATGACCCGGAGTTCCAAATCACCGACGTGAAGTTCAAGAACTTCCATGGTCAGTCGGCCCAACGCTAAGCACAGCAGACCGATCTCCAAAAAGGCACGGTGGTCTGAATGGCCGATTTTTTGGATTGAGAGTAGATGGCACAAGGGTTCCCAAGTTTGGTGGTTATGGACCCCCATTTGTTGACAGACATCCTTGGGTTTGTGCAATCGCACATCTGACACCACTGTAAAGCACGGTCGGCTTTGGAAGGGCATGGTTTAATTGTTTTGAGTCTTCTTTAGCCGGTTAAGCCATTTTGTTTGACCAGGCAGACGGGATAGTGGCAACTCCAGAAAACTGTCATGTTCCTGGAACAGAGTCAATAGCTGGCCAAGGGAAGTGTATATTATAGTATATTTAATATATATACATTATATACTTTGCCTTGGAAAGGGGTGAGGCATTCCTTTGATTGAGAATTCCCTTGTGAGCGTTTTGCGGCGGATCATGCAGTTTTTGTTGATGTAAAGCTCCGACTGGTTGCGGTGATGTTGCAGGTGAACGCCGAAACATTGCTGAGGGCAGATGTGCTTGGCTGTGGCACCATCAGGATTTGAGAGGGCCTGCTCCATTTCACCCCTATTTTTATGTATATAGATTCTTTGAGCGTTGTGGCTCTTTGTCCATGTTTGGAATGCCTACTATATATCAGATGTGCATAGATGCATAGATTTGCTATGTTTGAAATCCCGAAGCGATGATATTGCGCATCAAGCGAATTTGTTACACCCAGTGATCAACCAATAGAAAGTGAAGCCTCTCAAGTCTATGTCAGTTGGAGAACTCTAGAAGATCATGTAAATATCCGTTTACAAAGCAATCTCGGACAAAAACATCCTTTTTGTCCACTTTGTGCGCAGCCCAAGAGTAGCTCAGAGTTGACAAGGCACGTTTGTCAGGTTGGAGGATTCACAAAATATCGATGATGCATTTCCCTCTTTGCGCTGTTGGAGTGTCCAAAATTTGCGCTGTTGGAGTGAATGGGACCAACCATTTTCACTAACAGATCGAATCCAGCTAATGCCCCAAAAATCCAGTCGCACCTTGTCAGGTCATTGGATACACTCCTATATGTGTAGGTGCCAAAACCTCGGGTCCAATCGTAGCGAACCTGAGTTTCGGACCCGAAAACGGACCGGTCAAACACCGGACCACGAAGGTTCATGGAAGGTTCACCGGGTCCAGACCCACAGCGAAGTTGCAGGTCCTTGGTGTTGTGTTGACTTTTTTTGTGATTTGACACCAGGGGAGTCAATTCGAGCAACTCGATTGCTGCAATGAGTGTTAACTCAAAAATGCAGAAGAATGCTTCCTTAGGATTCAAAGTCCAATTGGTGGTTTATAAAGGGATTGGTCGATAACAGTCTTGGGCAGCCAGGAGATTTGAGCTCTCGTGCAGCTCAGTGTGTGAATGTTGATCATGTAGCACCCATGTGGTTTGGATTTTTCCTCGCCGTTCGCAGGTGGGTACACCCCACGGCCCCCCACAGCAGGTAGCAGAAAGACACTACTTGGAGGGTTTACGGTTTGAGCACCAGTTCACTCCAACATACTCCAACGACGTTCGTCAGCTTGTCCTTCATCCGGGTGAAAAATAAGACATTGGTGATGGCCATGGCGATGTCAACCATGTCAACGGTTGTCGACTTCGATGATTGATTATGATTCGTGAAGTTCTTGGTCGATTTTTTGTTTCCGGTTGCACGGTTGCACGGTTGCACGGGGCCTTCCTTCAAGTCGAAAGCAGAAGCATGTTGCCAGGAAACCATGTATACCACGACACCCAAAGGGGTGTCTATTGATAGACCCTTAGAGGTTAATGGGCGTCTATTAACCACCCCTTGTGGGTCCAGGTTCGTGTAAAATAGTCCAACTTAAACCTTTCTTATCAATGTGATGCTTCAGTCCCCCTTCGAGCATCCCCAAGACTAAACCTGAAGCCGTGTATACCACCTTCACCCCCCTCCCCTTCGAGCATCAGTCATGCTTCCATCCGGTCCTCTAAACCTCCGGACGCCCCAGGCATATGTTGGCCAACACCGTGCTGAAGGCCTACGCCAAAGCGGGTGATCCCATCGGTGCCCTCGACTGGGTCCAGGCGGCGGACCCGGTCGCGGCGCCCGAAAGGACGGGCCTCGAGTTGAGGATCGGGTAGGGCGTGGAAGTGATTGAACCGGTGCTCAAAGATCACATAGGGATACATAAGGGGTACTGCACTTAGAAGTGATTGAACCACAGAATGATTGAACCACTGTTTTGAAGAAGTGACTGAACCACCAGAAATCCACTACATGACTCATATTAATAGAACCCCAGGCTGCGTGTTCAGTACATAGCTTCGACGGAAAAGTTGAACTCTTGGATGACCGGGAAATCCTCTACTGACAGGTTGTTGTACGCGTCCATGATGATTCCAGGGAGTGTGTGGTGTTTGTCATGTGCGTCGACTTCCTGAAAATACCGTAGTTACTGACTGTAGTCCCTATGCTAGTTGTGCACAAGGATAAGAGTTACAGTTAAACCATGATTGATTCTAGGGCTATATTGCTCACATTCATGGAGCGAGCAGATCCGTAGTTACCTTACATGACTTTGAGCGTGGCATCCGCAGGTGATGAGGGACATGAACTGCAGCTTCAACGCGCCTGGACGGACGGTGACTGGTGACTGGACGGACGTTTCCCCGTGGAGTGGCGGCTTCCGCGGCTCCGATTTCGGAGGGATGTGGAATCCATCTTGTTTGATTCACATACCTAGTGCTGCAGCGGCCCAGTCATCCCCAAGACCAACTGGATCCACATACCTTCTCAGAAAGGTGCAGTTTCGACCCCTACGGACCGGCGACATGCGAGCGGAGTGGATCGAACAGACCTGGTGGTCAGGTCTCCGCTTCAGCCGGTGATGCCATCCTGAACCGAGCTTCAGCTGTGACACCATCAAGGCCAAAGTAGGCTTTTCCCATCCAACACGGACTTTTTCACCCAATTTGAGATTCGGGTGCAGGTTGACGCATGTTCCAATGTCCAGGTCCAGTTGATCCCCAGGGCTCCACTGGTACCGAAAACGCTTCGGACCTGGCACTCGGGACTCCCACCGGACCGTTTCACGAAGGTACAACTGGAGGTGTAGGGATCTGTGGAGCACAGCTTGACACAAACCCATGTACCCTAGGGCTCCTGGCCCACCTCCTGAGAGAATGGGACAGGGGTGGGTGCCAAGGGGGGCGAATACCACCGAACCTGAGGAGATGGGACAGGAGCCCTAGGGGTAACAAGTGCTCTTCCCCAATCAAGCTGCTCTGGCTTCTTCACCCCACCGGTCCGTCCACCTGTTTCCTCGAAAAAGCGTACGCCAGAAGTGGTCCGCCTGCGACTCGTGCACGAAACTATTCACTGGTTCCTGTGCCACGTAAGCGACCGGAGAAGGATAGCTCCCAATTGGCTCAGCACGTCGAGTTCCTTTGATGGCTTGCTGAGCACGCCATCTCAAGCCATCCTCAAGTCCCTCCACCTTTCAAGCAAATACCGCATCAAACACACCAACAAACGCCCCCTTTGCGCATGTTCCTCCACCACACACCCACACCGCCAGACACGTTCCACCGGGAAGTTGCTGGACGCCGCCGCCTTGGGGGAGCGACTGGATTTGGCGGAACGATTTCTGGCAGCGCTGCTGCCTGCGGCACGTCCGGGTGCCACAGGGCGTCGTAAAAAGCGTAGTGGAAGAGAGGCTACAAGGGGGTGGAAGATCTATATAAAATTATATATAAATATATTTAATTGAATATGTATATATATATATATCTAATTATCACAAAAAGTGTATATGTATATCATCTATATACATATCTATACAATATGGTTTTAATGTTTAAGGTTGGGCGACTTCTTTGGTGTTTGTTGAAATCCGACTCGTGGATGGTCAGATCTGCCGGAACCACCACTGATCCGATCCGAAGCGTTCGTCGTCTGCTCAGGCGGTGGCCCCTCTTTGGGATTGCCGGTCGACCAGGAGACCCATCGCCTCTGGGGACGAGTTCCGACCGTTTGGGCGTTTGGGGGGGCTCCTATCACCTGCTCCCGTCCCACATCCGAAAGGAATGGCGGGTTATGACTGTGACGGTCTAACTACCTTCTGAGGAGGTAAGACTGGATGGACTTATCAAAGGTGCCGTGGCGCCATGGAAGACCTTCAATCTCCATGTTTCTGTCATCCTCATTAGCTTGACAATATGAGCAAGACCTCCCAAGCTATCGCTAATATATTATGCAAATTAATATGGAAAAATATCGCAATACCCGGGAATTCCTTTGGAAGATGAGGACTTCTTCCACTGCCACACGCTTTCCCGGTTATATGTTGCTACTTGTTTCTGGGGGACGAGCGCTGAACTTGCCCCGGCAAGAGAGCATTCCTTGACTAAACATGATCTAGTCCATGGACCCTTGGCGTGCATCATTCTACTGTACCCATGCTGCTGGAGTCCATGGACTCTTGTGACTCTTGTTGTTGTTGTTGTTGCTGCTGCATCAGTTTAACATAGATTTAGATTAAAGCTATAGACCCCAACATGTCCAGTCTGATCCAGTAAAGCCAGCTCCTGAAAAAAACTCATTGAGTAGTCTTTTGGTAGTCAACTCCAGTAAATTGAGGTCTTTGACCGGCAGTGGCTCGGCAGGATCATCCATCGAGACTAGTACAGGATGCCACACCATAGTAGTACAGGATGCCACCGTCCATTCCCTCGAATTCCCCCCCAGGTACCTTGGCGTTGGCCTTGTGCCGTGCCAGCTCCACTGATGCCTACCGCTGCCTCCTTTGGTCGCAACGCTGGGCGGCGGTCGAGGGTAGCGATGCCCGCTGCCAGGGGGCGGTGGTCTATGCTTGGGTGCCATGGTGAGCATGGTGGAGTGGGATCAGAATTGGAGATACCTAGCGCCTCAGTGACATTTGTCTTCATAGGAGAAAGCATATTTTGATTGGTTAAGTAGTCCAATATAGAGGTCACTCTAGGGATAGAGAGCTCGTATACGGAAATAGAGGTGCTTGGACCCATTGCCCCCACTGTTGCCTTCCACGGACAACCGTATGGCGGTATCCAAGCGAAAGCCGATGAACAACGGAAACATTGCATTTCATGGAAGTAAAACATGCAAGATGAACACCTTTTCCCGTGCCAAAGGCATAGATCTATATCATGTATGAGCATCTCAGAACGATTCAGAACGTCGTTCGAGATTCTGGTGGACTTGTGTTTTCCCAATTGTAAGTGAAGTTCGTTCGTATGGAAGACGTTGGCTATCCGAAGACACGAATCCTTCCACGACAGGGAAGACGTGTTTGGGCCTCGCCCTTCGGTTCGCTTTCGCTCGCTCTTCTTGGTTGGATGAAGCCCAGGAGCTCGTGGGTGAGGGCTCTTCGGTGACGCTTCAGGTGCTCACGGCGTGTCGGGGGGGACCGGTCCGGGCATTTTTCGGGGGCGAGGGGCGATTGCCCGGGCGGGCTAGGAGCGAGGTGGCAGAGCTCAAGTGGGCCAGGGTTCATGGAAAGGTGACCTACCCAGGAACAGTGGATAACCTTGAACCTTTCGAATGGATTTCCCCACTAAACTGAACAGAACAGGTAGATAAAGGTTAATTAACCTGTATTTTCCAGGGAAACTGATGGAGTCAGGTTAGACCAACAGTTGGACTGTGCGGCTGATGGGACTGAATAGGAGCTGAAGCTCCACAGAAAGTCTGACCGACACAGGATTCTTCCAACGAGGCTTGGTTGATCTAAAATTGTTTTCTTTTTTACAATTGTCATGGAAGATGAGACCAGGGTGCCTGATTATCATGGTCGGTAGGTGGCTTTCCGCCCGTGTTTGCATGCCGCTCTCAACCAAGAGCCTGTCTTGAGGCTCAGTACTTGCGAAAGGAATTGTCATGGACCACCGAATCGTAGAGGAACACGTTCATCCGTAGGGGCCATGCCATCCACCTAATTATTTTATGATGATTTCAGGATTCTGACCCTTCCGCTCTTGAAGTGCGCTCAAGAAGCGCTTGTCGCGGTGAGTATGCATAGCAATCACTCCAATGAAGCAAGAACCTAATATCATTCTTGGGATGCATTAAGCAGCTCCAATGTTTACCATCCTCCCCCTAGGGTCGTACCTCCTGAGATGGTATGACTGTGCCCAACTGGCACGACTTTTCGGACCATTCATGGCCCGGAGGTCTGATGGGTCCCTGACCCCGTTTCGCGCCCTGACCCCGGGTCGCTCGAAAGGTCGCGGCCGAAACACGTATGCAAAGATAGTGATCAAGACTTGTCAGATCTCCTGACACAAGCCTTTCTTTTGACATAATTTGAGGAACTCGTGTGAGTTCCTTTGTTTGCACATGTTGGCACCACCAGCCAGACGAAGATGCTGAAGCAGAGAGACCTGCACACATGATATAATAATATATATAATATGGCGCGATATTGAAGTGAAGCTGAAGTTGAGCATGTGTTTCACTGAAAACGCTAGATGTGCCACTGAAAACGCGTGAGGTGGAGCGCTCTCAGGGCGAGGAGCGTGAGTTGGAGATGACACTCAGCTCAAGATGAACCGAGAGCCTCAGTCGACCGAAGGTCCACCGAAGAGCGACCACCGAATGTGGTGAGACCGAAGGTCCACCGAAGAGCCTCAGGCAGTCAGTGGAAACCGACTGAACATGTTGGGCGGATTCACTTCCCCACTAAAAACACCAACAACCAAAAAAAAACGGTTGACTATATCCAGGAAGCTGAGGGAGTCAGCTCGGATGACACCCCGAACCAGCAGTTCACCAGTTGCCAGAGGTTTGGGGAGTTATCCCATAGAGACATGTGGAAGGGTACGGAGGTTTGAGACCCTCCTGAGAATCCGCGGGTTTGGACCCAGGTTGTGGATGACCCTCCCACCCTAGCTCCGTGACCGAGCTTTTTCCTTCAACCACATGCTAGCAGTGGTAGTTTGGTACTCCCAGATCTCTATGGCAGCTTGACATAGTCCCACAAGCTGTTGTCCTCATGGCTCCACGCTTAGATCAGATGTTTCTCAGCAGAGTCAGAGATGGTTGCAAGTTCCACGGCATACAGTAAATTCCCTAGGCCTCCAAGCACCTTCTGAGAAGGTGTTTGGGGTGGGTTTGGAGGCTCCAGTCATAGCTTCTGAGGAGGTACTTGGAGGTCTAGGGCTTGTTTGATCTTGTTAGTAACTCTTTAAGTGTTGGCTCTCTCCACTCCAGTGGTTCCAATTACTTGGGATTGGCAAGGGGAAGAACGTGTTTCGAACTTCATGGACCGCTTAAATCATGAAGCCCCATTTCTTAGCAGCAGCACCCAATATGCATGTCCCCCAAGATGAGGAGAAGGCTATGGAACGACATTGTAATAATATGTATATATATATATATATAGTGTTTTGCCTTGGTAGAGGATTTGCCCACTCAAGCCGGTGGGAGCTATTTTGACAGCCCCTGATCTTTCTCACATTCTTCCACACCACCAGGGATTTGGCCAGCTACAATGCTTTGGCGGACGCATGTGCCAAGCGCGGTGATCTGGAGGGCGTCCATGGCTGGATCGAGAAGATCCAGGCCGCGGGGATCTACAGGGCACTGACTGAGCGGCCGATGCGACGGAAGAAACTGGTTCTCACCGGCGAGAGGGGCTGGTTGAGAGCCCCCGGAATCCCATCGTGCTTTTCCTCATCCGAACAGGGTGCTGGCAGAGGTCATTGTTGCTGTGGAAGGACTTCGTTCTTGGACGTAGAAGGCATGCAGCACTAGTAGCGCCACTGCAGAGAGATCAATACAGCCAAGATGCATAGGATAGACAATAGACCATTCTAGAAACGGCCGGAACTGAACTTTTCGCCCCACCCACTCCCAGCCCCCAAACCCTCCGGCAAAGCCACCAAACCCATCCCCCTGGCCCATGGCGGGACGCTTGAACGGTCCGTGAAGGGTGACCGGTCCTGCGATCGGTGTGAGGCATCTGGGCTCGCCTTGAATGAAGTCTCCTTCAACATTGCACCTTGCACGGTCCATGGCCCATGGCCGTGTCGTCGAGTGAGGTCGAAGGTAGCACAAGAGACCGTATCATTGTTAGACTCTTGGATGAAAAATAACACCCTCCCTATGTTGGATGGTAAAACAAGCACAAAAAAACACAGCTTAAACAATAAACGTGTAAAACCGTTTGATATCGCGGGGGGTTCTGAATCATGTTTAGAATTTAGCTCCAAGCTTCCAGATTCAGAGACTCTTCATTTACGAACCTGCGCCAGTGCAGGATCTATACACACATATATATATATATATAGAGATAGAAGAATGCCACAATATATTCCATCGAGTTCAATTCATCAAAAGACATGCCCCTAGAAGTCCAAAGGCCACATGTTGCTCACTGCAGTAAAGGAAGTTCCTTTGCGGGTCACCTAATCAGACCATTTTTGAAAAATAGTCGACTGGACTTTCAGCAATATTCCCATGCAAGTCCCAATGCGTGGCAGAAGCTTTCAAGTCCACCCTCACCATCACCTTCTTCGATAGGAGGGTGGGGAGGGTGGATCCGGGATGGAGATGTGTCTTCTTCACCTCCGGGATGTTCGGAGAAGTGCTCGACCGCCTTCGATTCTCGGAAGTCTTGTGAGTCACGGTCGATGAGGGGTTGAATCCCGGCTCCAGCTCTAGCTCCTTCTGGTCCTTTCTATAGAGTCGATTCTTTTTGTACTGTCAGTGTGCAGTAAAATGAGTTGATTCCCCGACCTCATCCAAGAAGTATTTCAAGGATCGGCCTCCTATGTCCAGGTAATGGACGCCTACGGCCAGCAGGGGCGCTTGCTTCAGGCTTCGCGCTGGTTTGGGACCCTTGGTCTGAGCATGTCTGAGCAGGCTGGAGGTTTGTGTTGGGTTTTTGTTGACCGATTAACCTGATTCACCACCAACCCAATACCTCCGGGGTAGTTACATGCTTTGACAGATCTGGCTTAACTTTGGGGCGTACAGATCAGGCGGATGAGACTTTGTAGCTTATTGAGCCCTACAGATGTGCAGGACACCCAAGTTGCCAAAGACTCCCAGACCATCCATGTATGGAATATTTACCTAGGTTGACCTTCTGAGTGTGGCGCGGCCAGCTTTTGGGGGCCAGGTTTTGTGGGGGGGGCCTAGCTGACTAGCGCTTCGGGAGCAAGGGCTCGGGCCGTTAATTGTTTTCCTCGGGGAGACGTTTGAGTGCTTTCCACCAGGAGCGAAGAAATGGGGCGCGAAGAAAAGGGGAGGGACTATCTAGGCCAATGGTTAGTTGGGGTCTGCTTCTTAGTTTGTTTTTTGCGAAGAAAAGGGGAGGGACTATCTAGGCCAATGGTTAGTTGGGGTTTGCTTCTTAGTTTTTTTTTTTTTTTGTTCATGTTTTTGTTGATCTGTGCTTCTCAGGAAAATGTTGGAGCATGGCATTCCTCCCAATGTGCCTTGGTGCAATGGGATAGCACTCAGGAAGCACTCCACTACTCATGAACATGTGGCACCTTTTGTAAAGTGACTTTTGGATTTGGCTCTTTAGAAGCAACTTCTGTCCTGTCAAAAGGTATCATGTCTAGGTTGCGTATGCTTCATTGGACTTGTGCTTAATTGTTGTTGCACTTCAAAACACGTGTCCAAACCCATCAAAACCTGATGACATCTGATGACTCATCACCTGATGACTCAAACCCACAGGCGAAACTGTTCGAAGCCTTTCATCGAAAGCTCCCAGCACTCGTTCGCCCAGTGGCCGTCTGTTGTGCTCCCAGTGGCCACCTGGTGTTCAACTAGGTGTTCCGCGTCGTGGTTGGACATATCCAACCAAATCGAAAGCAACCAGGTGGGCTCATGTCTCCATAATACGTCCGAAATGCCACTTGCAAGCTGGTGTCTGCCGATGGAGACGGCTTCTTCGGCATCTCGGACCACATGACTTTCTATTCGAAACGAGTCTTCAGTGGCACCTGCCTCAGCCTTTCAGCAAACTCGCTTTCTTTGCTTCGGCACGTCGGCACTGTCTTGGACCAATATAGGGCCCTTCCCATTTGGGCTCCAAGGCTCCATCTCCTCAGGTGACCGGTGGTCTTCGACCCCCCCCGTAAGGCATCCACCCGGGCCCCGGGCCTCGTCATCGAACCGAAACGGAGGGGGGGCGGCCAGGAGCTGTAGGGCTTGTTCAGTCTAACTGGCCGTGTCAGGTCTTCTCCTATGGCACGATGATCAGCGCTTGCGCACGGAAAGGCTATGCGGACGAGGCGGAAGAGTGGCTGCTGGAGATGTGGCGAGTGGTGCCTGGGACGGGACTTCTCGGATTGCCAGAATGGGTTGAAGGAATGAAGCGGAAATCGATCCATGGCTTTCAACTCCCAATAGACACAACTATACCAGGACCCCCCAGGCTGTTTGGAGACCCTAACGGGTCTTTTCTGGGCACCGGACTTGTCACCAGGAAGCACCTGTTGGAGGGTCCTGGTATGGGACTCCTGTAGGTGTTCCCTTAAAAACACACACACAAAAAAAAATAAAATCTGAGATCCAACCCATGCGCCCTGCATTCGGCCCGGTCTTCGCTTTTTCTTCACGTGTCACCGGGGGGTCGGCGGAGTGTCACCATCGGTCGATGCGTTCCCACGGGGGAAGAGGGTGGAACTAGAAGCCCTTGGGGGTGAAGGGGTGAACATGTGGCTTGAGACATGAGACTTGTGACATTTGAAGTTTTTGATTCACCAACTTTCTGAAAGTCCTCCACCAAAATGGCCTGCTTTGTAGATGAGATGAGAACGATCAACAGTTCAACGGAATACTGAAACTGAATACTGTAATATTATATATATATATATTTATGTACATTGTACGTACATATGTTGTAACATAGTAGACTACATGGTCAGAAGACAGACGATAGAGATGTGAGGACTCCCTGAAATCTATGTTTTTTGTAGATCTTGAATAGATTTGGCGACTGGCTTTCCAGAAGTCCTGGTTGAAAGAGGAATTGTATGGCATGGCTGTGGGCCATGTCACCTTTCAAGGTGTAAGCCAAGGAAAGAGCCAAATTGGACACACACTTGCGCATTCTCCCAACCAAATTGGTAAATATACTTCCAAGCTGTGTGAGTGTACAGAAAGTGGGCCACCTAGCCACTAGCTTCATCAGCTTCACAGGTGTCCTCCCAAAGCCGCCGCAGATGTGAAAGCGCAAGGGGGGGGGATCACTGGGGAGTCAAAGCCTGGAACTCAAACACCATGTAGAGTCAGCACCCGACTATAGCTGACAGGTCACCTAACTCGACCTCACTTGAGGTCAGCTTCAGCCTTCAGCCATCGGAGACCTGTGATCGTCCGTCGGGTGCCCCCATCTCGGTCCACCGGTCTCCGTCGGCGGCTCTGACAGTGAACAGGTGCAGCCCTGGTGACCCCTGGGTCGATGGGTGAATGGACCCAATGTCGCATCCATTCTGCAGATGGGTCGATGCCATCCGATGGCACTGGTCCCAAAAAGCAGCCCGATCACGGTGGACATGACGCTGTAACAGATCTTCGCGAACTGCGGCAGGTCAGACAGATCTCCTATAGAAGGGCCGAACGCCCGAAGACCGCTGTGTACCGATGTTCCACCGTGAAAACGCCGCTGAAACGGTCAACCGTTTGGAGCCAGGCGGCTTCTTCTTCCGCCCCCAAAAAAACGGTTTCGATCTCCGTATCCCAACCGCTGGGTGGTTTCAGGAGATGTTTATTCTTATTTTATTCTTATTTATTCTTATTTGATCTTCAACCCTTTACTTTGGATGATTGAACCATATTGAACCCTTTTGAACCCACCGACGTAAATATGTTACCTCAAATGAAACCACCAACTGGCTCCGCTTTGAGCTTCAGCTTTTACCTCCGTACTTGAGGCCCTTCATCCGCTGGAAGTGACGTACAATGCCTCCTGGGCTTTTTTTTCTTTGAACGGACCGTCGTGACTGGGATCATCCACTCTCAACTGGGTGAGTTCGCACCGGCGCACTTTCCCCGTTTTCGTGTTTTTCCGCCTTTCGGTGGCCTTCGGACGGACAACAGTCCAAAGAACCTGTTTGGTGCTGTTTGGCTGTTTGTCCTACCAACCGTTTGGGCTTTGAGTTGAAGGGGTGGCTGTGATATCGGATGGATGAATGAATCGCCCCTACCTGGATGGCCGGTATCTCCAGGCTTCGGGGGGGGAAGTTTAGAGGCAGCACCCGGTTCAGTGGCAGGTTCAGCAGGGAGTGACATAGCGTGAAGCGAGGCATGGGTTTTTCCCTGAGTCCAAGTACATCAAAGAGGGAACCTGTCGACCGTCGACCTCCAGCTGCATGCTGTTTTGGTCACTTCCTGATTTCCTGGGGAGGGGGCAACCAGCACCGCGTTGCTTATTGGCTGTTCTTTCAGTGAAATCCACTGGAGCTCCGGACATATAAGGCTCTTCTGAATGCCTATGCAAAAGCTCCCAACTCGCAGCGTTGTGCTGCCTGGCTCAGCTGCATGCAGGAGAACTTGGTGACACCCAGCAACTTGGGCCATGTTTTGGTCGAGCTGGCTGTTCTCCAGTTGTCTTGTGACTTAAGGACGTGAGTGCTTTAAGCAGGGGGACTAAGAAGGGGCATGTGTGAGGAGTGGTTTTCCTGAAATCAAGTAAGTAGCTGGACCATGCTGCTACGTAGAATCTGCAGGGTCATTGTATCAAGTTCAGGAGGTTTAAGCATTTTTTGTCAATGTCAATACTCCTTCGTAACACCTTTGCCCACACTTGGGATCAGCATTTTAGTCGGACCCCAATGGAACTGCCATATTGGCCGATCAGATGAGATGCTGATCAGTTGGTCAATGTATATCATACGTGTTTCCCCACCAGCTTCCATGTCCTTACTTAAGATTATGTTAATAGAATTGTCCCCCTATGGTCCTATGGTGAAATCCCGCCTTACCTGCAGGAATATGTATTGTTGTTGCCTCAATGCTTCCCAGGCCCCCCCGTCCACCTTTACCCTCCCCCCAGGCGTGATCTCCTACGCCACCGTGATCGACAGCTTCGCCCAGACAGGCGATGCCACCGGAGCAGCCGCCCGGCGAACGGACCGGAGAGGGAGGGGCCACGTCGATGAACATCCATGCAGCTCAACCAAAAAACACCAAACATACAAATCACACACTCTTTGTGCTTAACTTCTTGTGGGGGCAAAAAGGAAATAGCTCCTGCAAGCATCGAGTAAACAAGGAGAATGTGTCACTGCAAGTCAGGTTATTGTGATGGTCACTTTTGTTTGCAAATCTATGGAGTTTTTTCCACTTGGGTGGTCTAGGCCCAGGTTGGATGCCTTCCTTTGACTCGTGAGGCGGTCGGGAGTGATGCCTTAGGCATCTCCAAAAACCGGACATTCCAGGAGTATGGAATATGTACCTATAGTGGATTGAGACTAGATGGCACAACTGTCCAAGTTGGTTTAATGTTATATCTATCTATTTATCTATCTATCCATCTATCCATCTATCTATCTATCTATGTACCCCCATTTGTCTAAGACCTCTTGGAGGCTGTGCCATGTAGATTGACCCTTGAAAAAGACCCTTAAGATCTAATTCCAGTCCCATGGAGTGTTTTGTTCTTTTTTCTGCAAGCTCTCGGATCTTCAACAGTGTGCGATCTTTTCAGGTTTGAGAGTTCAGTGACGACCCCAGAAATCTCATGAAGTCATACCCCAAAACGCCAGAGCTTCGACCCGGCCCAGGTGGAATGGTTTGAGCGCCTCTCCGCCCAGCATCCTGAAGCTGCCAAGACGGCCGCGCACGCCAACAACGCGGTGCTGGCAGCCTTTGCCCGGAAGGGTGATTCTGGGTGGCTTGCAGAAAGAAACAGGAGGGTTGGTGATGTTGGTCGTTTCCCCTCTCCAAATCTGGACACTCTGCCGGGTGGATCGGGGATGAAAGCCCCGTATCCGGTCGGACTTGGCAGCACATGCGGCAGCACGAGTGTGGGCGCGAGCCGATGTGGGCGGAAGGTGTGGGCTATCGCCTGGCGCGATAGCAAGTCTAAAACATCCATTGGGCTTCCAACCACCATTGATTTCCAAGAGGGGTGGAAGTAAGTGACCTGATAATATATAGGACCCGGAACTACCTGGGGTACCCAACTGGGATGGGAACAGGTGGAAAAGGTCAATCGGATTACTGGACTCGTCACTGGGTGGTGCACTCGATACCCAGTCGACCAACCGGCTAGCGGCTCTCTCTGAGCCGGGTAGCTCTCTCTGGGCTGGTCAGTTTGAAGGACCCGGCTGAGCCCCGGCCACCGTGGCTTTGGTGAGTCTATGGCTATTTTCTGTTGCAATGTCCGCCCAAGCTGCCTTAGGTTGATGCCTTAGCTTGATGCCTGAGGTTTTTCGCATATGATATTACAATATTATATATATATATTATATATATATATATTATATATATATATATTTATCCCGGTTTTGTGGACCTTCAATCTTGACATATGCCCCTTCTCTTGACTGATGATGGATGCCATGGTCGAAAACAAACACCATGCATGCTGCATGCTTATGAATGTCCCATGCAAATCTATGGTGACTATTGCTCTCAAAACATGCCGGCCAAAGCTATACTGCGCCCATAGTGGAAAGTACCCCTTTTGCAGACCCCCCCCTGACCTTGACCATCATAAGCTGGCTTGAGCTGCCAATACAAGTAAGGAAACACAGTAGCAACGAATGGATCAAAATATTTGGGCACGAGCCGCTACCGGCTGGGTATGCCCAAAAAACCTCATCAAATGGCTGATCCATGAAACCGTCGATGGGACGCTCAGATCGACTCAGTCAGCATTTTTCCCCCCCCCTCCTAGCCAAGTCAGTGGCGGCAGAACCAGCAACTCAGGGGCGCCACTAAGTGGTTGCAAGAGATGATCAGCAGGAGCTGCTTGTGACCTGGCAAGTTCTTCACAGGAAGGGCGATGTTTCATGAAATGGATGGATCTCAAAGGCAGATTCAATTCCACCACTTTGTGGGTAGTAGACTGTGAGAATTGTCCTTGGTAGTTACATTGCAGAATCAGAGATTCAGATGATCTGGGACTATGTTTGCTCCATCACGGTGCCTACATTGACCTTTGATACCGCACAATGTATGCCATAGATTCATGTGTTTCGGATGCATTAGTTCATTCCCAGACACTCCATGTATGCCATATATGCCTACATTGACCCCCCAAGCCACCCCAACTGATCGGCATATGTGGCAGTCCCATGGAGTGTCTGGGATTGACCATCTTGACAGCTTGGCACCGAAGTGGGAAGTCCTTTGACTGTTGTTTTGTTATGTCCAGGGCTTGGACCCTCTAAACCCTCCCCGAACACCTTCTAAGAAGGTACTTGGGGCCCTAGGGTATATGTTGCTCTATTAACAAAACTGAACTGGTTATATATATATATATATATGTGTTGTTTTCCTCGCAATGCTGGTGATGCCCTCAGTCACAGTTGCATCATCGCAATCATCAAAGCAAAAGTGCATGGCAAAAGCCTTTCTCTTGTGGGCCTTGAGGGTACCTCCATACTCAGAATCTGCCTAGAGGTCGGACGACTGGCAAACAAACAACGATTTGGATATATGTTGCCAGCACGCTCTCGTCGCGCAAGCATGTAGGGTCATGAATGGGGTCAATGTATGCAACTACGTATTCGGATGGTTAATTGGATTGCTGGTATCAGAGGGTTTGTTGTGGCAGGTTGTGGTATGGTGGCATCACTCACCCAGCCTGTGAGCTGAAAAAGCGATATTTGGCTCCTAGAGTTTGCTCCATGGTCTCCTTTTTTGGAAGAAGGGAGAAAGACAACTCCATTGGGCCAGGGGCCCCATTCAACTGCACACCCAGCTTGAAGTCCTGACAAAGACAGCCAAGACTGGTCACAGCAGCGAATGCTGCGAACGAAGTGATGAGGCCAAGCGTGGTGTCCTACAACACCTTGATCAAGAGCTATGCCAAGAGCAGCTTGGACGTCGTATGTTTGGTAGGTTTATTCTAAATTTCGGGTAACTTCCCTTCCAGGCTCCTTATGAGATGCAAAGTATTTATCAACCAACCGAGAATTCCCGGCTAGGCTAAGGCCCGTCTGAATTTTGAGTGGTCCGCGATGAAAGCAGAGTGGGTAAGAAGACCCGAGTTGCGTGGTTTACATCCTTAACGTCAGACTGTGTGTGATTTTGCAGCATTGCATTGACGTTTGCTTGTTTTTGATTGACGAGCGAGCTTGGCACCGGTATACCTTTGGCCAATTAATGCCAATTAGAAAAGCCTACTACTAGCTGTTGCGACGAGGGAGGGGCTGGGCCGGGGTCTCCATCTTCCAAGCTGGAACTGGGAGCGGCCGAGCCGGGAAGGACCCCCCCTTGTTATAAGACTATAATATACACTCCAGAAAACTAACATAACCCTGACAATGGCCCCCTGGAAGATTGTTTTCCTCTACCAACCCACGTGGTTTTCAGGGTCCATGTTAGTCTTCCAGGGTGTATATATATATATTGGTTTTGACCTACCGTCCTACTGTCCTGTAGCAGTCAGTAAACAAGCAAATCACTATTTTTTGAGATGGCGGCCTGCTACCGAATCATCATCATCCACTTGGGCCCCCCTGGTAGTAGGATAGACTGGATAGACCCCAACAATATACTGAATGCATGTGGTCCATTTGAACCACTGAGGTTCTTCGCCGCAGGAGGCTCTGGAATGCTTGGAGGACATGCAGTCCGCCCAGCTGGAGCCAAACCTCATCTCCTATAACACCGTGCCTCAGATCAATCGCGTTGCAACCAACCTAACTTGTGGAGCGCATTCCTCTGGTCTAACAGATGTTCGGATGCTTTCATGAACACATTCGACATCGCCTGGAAAGATTCTTCACTATTCAAGTCGAGTGACCTCTTTGGAGTGCCAGCCAGTGACCTTTTTTTTAACAGGCCCAAGTGACCTCAAACTGGGATATCAAAAGGTCACTTTGAGGAACCAGGAAGGTGTCATTCAATTTCATCGTCCTCACTTCTGCAGATAGGACCCGAACTCGGCCAGAAGAACTCCCCCGCACCCAGATCACTCCACCGGCGAGACCGACCATGTCCCATCTGGGACTGGCATGTTTAGATACATCACCGAGGTGCTTAGAGTCTAGCAGTGTTGAAAAGGGATCCAGGTCGACACACCTTCCAGGTTTTGGTGTGTTTGCTGACCTCGAGGTCATAGCTGCATACGCTCATGCTGGAGATCCAGACCATGTGGCAGAGGTACTGGAACGCACCGTGTCTCTGGGAACCTGTGGCCAGGGGGTCCGAACGGTGCAGGTGTTGTGGCGTCGCGCGGGCCTCGGCCGGCCTGGGCGGGCCTAAGAGATCATATTTATTGGAATGCAGGTGCCTGTTTTTTCTCATTCCAAGTACCTTCTCAGAGGGTGACGGGCATATTGGAAGACTTTGGAATACATGTTTTGTTTTGGTTTTCTCAGTCCTGGCTGCCTGGCTCATCAAGTTTGTGGGATATGGTTGGAGCCAATGCACAGAGTCCCGGCGAATTGGTCCTCCCAAACATCGCTGGAGCCTTCGACGGATCGACCGGACACCCTCTCCCAACAAAAACAGAAGCACTGCACACCGACTTTTTGCAGCAGCGAATTGAGGGTGAAAAGGCAAACGATTTCAAACCATAAGTGGTCCCCAAATACACTCCCGAGAACTCACATAGACCCTGTGGTTTTGGTATCCTCAAAGACTGTTTTCCTTTACAAACCAATGGTTTTCAGGGTCTAGGGTTAGAGGGATCCGTTTTCGTTCCGAAGGTTCGGTACGGCTGGACCCGACAATGGCTGGCACCAATCAATGTACCTGACAAATTACTTGGATCCCTAGGGCATGGTGGTCCCAAATAGATGGAAAAGTAGGTCCCCACACAAGTATTGGAAGCGGTGCCACTATATCTATTTGGGGATCATTCTAGATATTGAAATAGGGTGTGTTCCTTTGGCGCCTTGGCAGTGTTGCCGGGGAGAACAAAAACGCAAACTGTCAAGATAGTGTGTCCATCAACTCAATGGTGACTGACTGATGCCAATATCATGTACATGGACTATAGTCCATTTATCATTGTCAATGTCAATGATCAGTTTGCTGTACGTGGTGTGTTAGCCTTCAACATTGTTTTCCTAGCTTATTGTTGCAAGTCATATACGATATGATGTGTTTGTCGTCGTCCAACGTAAGCTATTTTGGGACACTAGAATCACTAGAACTCCAACGTAAGCTTTTGCTGCAACCTTTGGGCTCAAGCACCATGCTTGCCCGACGACGCCGCAACTCGTAGGAGGCGCCGGCGGACCACCAGACAAAGCAACCGACAAGGGCTGGACAAAGGGGGAGCTTTGGTTTCGGACAATTCAGGGGGCCCCAACCCGATATGAAGAAATTTGGGGTGGTTTTCGGTAAATTGGTGCAATGGCTGCGTGAAGTCACAGTCAGTGCAAAAAAAATCACAACTATCAAGAAAGTTCGTATGTACTGGTTTCAAGTCTTTTTGGGTCCTTTCCACGGATCACGGATTCCGGGATGGATCGGAAAGACAGCCTCAGCACCCGGTTGGTGTTTACGACCAGGCCATAAAGACCAGTCAGACCTCGACTACGTGACTACGAGTGTATTCCCTTCAACCTGTCCGAGTCCTAGCTACGTACTAGAAGATGGAACTGGAATGCATTTGTGTGCTTAAAACCATCATGGGCTCCACCTTCTGGACGTGGCCTTGTGCACGCCGATCGGGCCGGATTTTGCCAGTGCTGTGTGGGAAACTCAAGGGGTTCAGACCCAAGCCCAACTCTTCAGCAATAAGACAGGGCTTGGGTACTCCAAGAAAATCTGCAGTATACAGTATACAGTATACCCTGGTGGTAGATTTAGAAGAAGATCATACAACCTCACAAAAAAGAGCACGGACTAGGTATCCTGCCGCCTTCGACAGATAGCTCGAGGTGATGCTGGGAAGCCTGGGGAACCGCTTTGTGTTCCCCGCGCCGCAGCCCTCCTACGGGAGACAATCCTACAAGAGGTGGGCTAGCTGTGGGTTGTGGGAAGATGCCACGCTGAAGCCGCAAGAGGTCCCGTTCAAATGGAGGTTCAAAAGAGACCACCTAAAAAACACCAAGTAAATGGGAATGGCCACCTATGAAACCAGTTGTGCTTCGAAGCTGAACCTTCAAGCTGAACGCCTTATATCCGGCGTTGGCCGCCGAGGCCGCTGGAAGTCTGAAGGTGAGAAGAAATGACTGTCAAGATGTTCAGGAGAATTGAGTTAGGGGACTGTGCAGCTTAGGTCTTTTTACAGTGGCGAGTGATGGGGCAGCTATTGGGTTTGATTGGGGGGGATAGCTCTTGCAAGGCAAGGAAAGGCCTCTTGAAGAGCCCCCCACAAGTGCGAGGGTCCTTTGTATCAACCAGACTTGAGAGGAAAGAGCAGATTGAGGAGTGCTCAACAAACGGACCATATTGAGTGATATTGAGTCAGGGGGCATTTGGACCAAATTGAGTGATGGGGTATTTGGGATGTAACTAATGTATGATTCCTTCGGCTGATTCAGTTACAGCATTTCATGGATTATTCATCAAAGCGATGAAAACTTCCTCCACCCTAGCATCAATCAAGTTTCAGATTGACCTGAAACCTATGGAAGGGCCCCGCACTAAATAGGTGCACTAGAAAGGCCCCCACTCCGCGCCACCTGAAACCTATGGAACACCAAACACAAATAGGTGCACTAAAAAGGCCCCCACTCCGGGCGGGCCCGCGTGTCCTTGAAGCCTATTTGAAGCCACCCCACAGGAATTTGTGCTGGATCCCATGGAATAGTGTGATCTCACCAAAGCGTGTGGGTTGCCTGGCGGGAGCGGTATCACTGGCGTCAGGATAGTAGGTACGCAGTCAGCGTCCAGTTGGCGAGGTTCGAGTCTTTAACTGGCCGGCTCAAATGATGTAATGGAAATCCAGGAGGGATGTGTCTAATAACGGTTTCAATCTGATTTGAAGATAGTTCTTTTACAAGCAAGAGTTCTCCTGCACCAGCTGCGACACCTGGTGATTCGACCCACCCGGAATGGCCCGAAATCCTTATCGCCTGATGAAGATCATCTATAGCCCAGACGCTCCATGGGACTGGTATATATGCCTATATACATTGGGGTGGTTTGAGGGGTCAATGGGGCGGCATATATGGCAGTCCCATGGAGCATCTGGGTATAGTGGATTGAGAGTAGATGGTCCGGTACAATCCTCAAGTTTGGTGGTTATGATATGGACCCCATCTGTCGACAAGACATCGAACGGCGTGGTGGCCATCGCGCATCTGAAACCACTGGAGCAATCCGGTCGCTTCCCCAGGTCGCTGGTCGCTTTACTTCTTTGGGTTTCTTTGGGGGACTTGCCCTGGTCAACGCCCCTGGTGTGGAGGTTGGCTTCCTGCTGAGGTTGGACCGGGTCTGTGACATAGGTCCGGAAGGACTTGACTACTTGTGTATCCCTCAGACAGAAAGAAAGCCAGATCTCATGGTGTCGGCAGAGCTGCGTTGTTCGTGTGGTCCGCGAAAGGAACAAACTAGGCATCTCACGGAGCTTCAGAGCTGCGTCCAAGATCGTTTGATCTTGGTTTGGGTACAAGTGCTCCCTGCCTCAGAAGTGACCCCCCCTGTCGTATGTGTTGTCCCTGTGGTCGCTCAGAAAGAAAGGTTGTGGTCATCCCTCACCGTCCCCTACTGAACAATCCCCCAAAACTCATGAAAAAAGATCAGTGGTCTGACTATGGAGCCCATGATCCCACTGACGGAGCCTGGTACATGAGCAAATCGGTCTAGGTCCAGGTCTCTTGCTGACCTCAGGGGAAAAACATGGAAAAACTGCCCGCCTGCCCACTACCGCTAACAAACAGTTGCTGAGTGTTTTCGGCCCTGAGGCAGAAAAAATTGTTGCGAGTTGTTTTGATTCTCCCCGAGGCACTGAGGAATTCGCCAGCGGCATCCCTTGTTTATGGTTTCCCGCGCCGAAGGCGGCGACAGTGCACCTTAGCGGCAGATGTGTGAAAAGGCAGGACAAGTCTCCCATGAGTAATTAGACCGTTTCTGGTGGGAATCGCAGTTCCCCAAACATGGCCTTTTCCGCCAATCTGTTTATATACACGTATCAGTCAAAAATATAGCTTTTGCTATATGAAATACTTGTAGAATGTCGCAGAACTGTTCAATGATTGCGGACCTTGGCTTCTGTGGCTAGACATCATGTCCTAAGTTTCAGCTGTCTTTGCTCTTTGTGGGCAAAATCACCTTGGGGGCCAGCCTTCATGGTTTTGGGATCATATGGCTGGGAGTCTCCTTTTGAGGGCCAGAAACTTATATTGGTGACATCACATGATATCAACTCTAAGAGCTTGGGACGCACGAAACAAATACAACAACTTCCCATGCAGTCTTGGCCCAGCCATGGCTTATGGCTTAAGACACTAGGCACCTGTTTCACGTCGCATCCAACACAAGACAATCTGGGTGTGGCGGCTTGGGTCACGCTGCATCCGATACAACGACGACTGTAGCCTGATGTTCACTCGCACATGTTGCGACAAAGGACCCGGGACCCGAACGACAGATCGAACTGATGCGAAACCTGCGCACCACCAGAGGTCACCAAGGGTCACATTGGCATGTGCCCACCTGGTCGTCGATTCCGGTGCCCACATCGTCCGATCTGCGCGCGTGATGCGGCGGCGGCACCGTTCAGGATTCTTTTCTTCCATGCCAATGCCGAAGATCTGGGTATGTCCTTTGCCGTTCTACGTCACATACGTGATCAGTTCAAGGCCTGATCGACAGACAGGGCTGTGTCGGCACTCTTTGGCTTGAAAGTCTCCCCCTTCTCAGGTTGAATGTATGAGGGTACATGAGGACTGAGTAAATTCAGCCATGCAAAGGGCCGTTAGGTCCAAAACCACCAAATCGCCTCACCTGGTCGTACCTTCTCAGAATTGAAGACCCTAGCAGCCAGACAAAATGTTGCTGATTGAAGCTGAGGAATGTCCTTTTCGGTCACCCAGGTCAGACCATGACTCCCCAACAAATTCCACTTCATCAGGTATTTGGACCCTCCCCCACAAAGGTCTTTCCAATTGACCCTCAAAAGAAAAGAGGGGTGGCCAAATTTTTGCTCCATCGGGAACGGCTGGGGGACATCACCATCAAATCAATGCTGGGCGCCTAGGCGCTGTTTCGCAT